TTATAGCGATAAAACTAGCCACGTATAATGCGAATATTTTTTATTTTTTCTGTTTGATGGGTGGTAGGCAAGGGTATCATACGGTGGGGTAGTCGGGGAGTGAATATGTATATAACACAGGTCATGTAATTCATCATTAAAAATAGTCCAATTTAAAATTCAGTCCCTGAGCGACTATACTTTACCGTCTAAAATAAATGTCTTCAAACGAGTATTATTAAAACAAGTAGAGGTATTAAATATTTCGGTGGTGTTATAGAAAATAATATTATTATTAATGTGTTCTGTATAAAATGCCGAAATCTGGACTGATAAATAATATAGAAACATATTCTATCGTACACGGTACACACGTGGTTTGCACAACAACATCGATTCAATGATAAAAACAACTAAGAACAACTACTATTACACCTATATCTCTATATACCCGCTGGATCTATAACCACATTACGGCACGTCGTACCGATGTGTAAATTATTGTAATGAGATAACATACGTACTTGGCCAGACTTCAGTGTTACGAATCCTCTTGCAGGTCAAGGTCTCGAGTTAACTAATCCGTGTCACTGGTTAACAATATTTATCGAAACACACGATCTCGATGCAATGCCCTAATTACGCTAGATTCGGTAATGTAAAAATGATTTTTTCCTATGTGTTCGTTTAAAGGGCGCCTGTCATCTGATAAAATATGATTAAGAATTTTTTTTTTTCGTTTAATATTTTTTTTTACGAATTATAACAATATTCTCATACTCTACAAGTGAGTCACCACAACGCCAATGACATTTCTAAAGTAATCTACTCAAATTAATCCATAGATGCCTTGACGACCGTAGTGATTTATTATACAGTACCATGTAATATAAATAAATAAAAAAAAACCAGTTTGAATATGTCATCGACATCAATTGATGTATAAAGGACTTTTACAAAAATCCGAAAGTGCATCGCGTTAATATTCAAACCCTATATTATCCAGACTACGCTAAAATTGACAAGTAATCGAAGAAAAAAAAACAGTTATTTGAATGACCTTTTCAAAAGAAAATAATTCTATTTTATTTCTCGGTTATATTAGCTATAACATGTATATAATATTTAAATATAATGTTGCGATTAACGTGGTTAAAAAAAGAGCTATACTTGAAATTATAAGGTATTTTTCTGTTATCTTGAATAGGTACCTACCACTAGACGCAATAACATGTTTGTTTTATTTTTATATACTGCTCATATAATATTAGTATCGCCATAAAATTATGTTATGGTCTGGTCATAGAAAAATATTCATTATTTAGAAAGAAAGAGTACAATTTTTCATGAAAGATAAACGAAGGCGCTCAATTATTACGAACATGAAAAACTTTCTTTCGTTCATTTAACGTTCATATTTTTATAATACAAAAATACGAAAATCGTAATTATATTATTGTCAATAATTATCTGAAAATAATAAATATCGTACTTATTGCAATTCCCAATTCCATGGTATCAATGAAACATCACTTGAAAATAAAATATTTTACCTAAAGGTAGATATAGTATTGTTTATCTATTTAGAATTTCGATGATGTTATCAAACTATAGAATAAAATTGTATAGGTACAGATATAATTAAGGTGTCTCAAATGCTAAGTGACAAATGTTTAATGAAAAACTCTAGCACAAACATTTTAAACGATCTTATATGAATGTGTTTTAAACACTCCAACACTGGATATAAAATATATCCAAACATCCACTACTGTTTTGTTTCACATTGAAAACATATAGGTATACCTCTCGCGGCTCTCACTAATTTTAATATTTTTTCCTGCACACCCAAGTTTTTCATCCTTACATTTCCCCATACCTACCAAACGCGTCATACTTCTCGCAAGTAATTATATCAAAAGTAAACCTTTTACCTATTTGGCAAAATGTTAAGGGAGTCTTTTTCAGTATTTGATAAATTTCACAAATTCATATTTTATAATTACTATAGGTAGTAATTAATAATAATACCAATAAATAATAAAATAATTTTTTTAACATTTTAATTGTATCTAAATGTACGGAAAGTAAACAAAAGAAAAGATCATCTTTGGTACCTAGCGTGGAAATCAAATAACTAGCATAATATAACAGTTTGAGATATCGGAATAATTATATATCGATATTCGACACACAATAATTGTCTCCGAATCCGGGTTGTATACTGTCTTGATACAACGGAAAAGTAACAATCATAATATAAATAATAAATATTGTTACATTATGCTCAGGAATAAGTATAATAACCTTCAGACTCTCGAATCTTTAGAATATACGATGTCTCTAGGTACACTCTATTTAAACCAAAGTCCAAAACACAATCCGGTTTCGTATAAGAAACCTCGCCGACGTTTTGATTAATATCTCAATAGTTGTTTTGAGTTTATAACGAATAATAATTAATAAATAATACATTTTCAGAATTTTTATGAGCAAACGACCAGCGAAAAAAAAACAGCAGATAATCTGAATACAATCCTGTCCCACAGTACTTGATTGTTTTTAAAACAAACTATATTGGGAAAGTTCGAGTTTTCCGTCCTTTGAATGCAGACCAGTGGTGTAGTGGAGGGTACACTCTGGTACCCACCCCCTAATTTTCATTTTATGATTGTACCCTTAACGAAAATTGTGGTACACAGGTTATGTTAGCTCCCCTCGTTATTTTTTACAATGATTAAGGCGTGTACCTATAAAGGTTTTTTGGACTACATCACTGTTGCAGACTGTATCATCGGGTCACCGTAACAGAAGTGTCATTTTGTCCATAAAGTGAGAATGATTCGTTAATCGTTGACGTATAATGTTATACCTACTCGACGTGTTAAGACTTAAGAGGACGGTACACCTGCTGTGTTGTGTCCGTCTTACAATTAACGTAAAACATAACAAAAACTGTTTTGCGTGGGTACGTACTCTACAGGCTGTTGTCCAAGTAGGGTAACCAAATGTTCACACTAGAAAGAGGAGAACATTGACTGTGCAACGCTGTTTGTATAATATCAGAACTACGACAATAGTTTTTATTGTTTAAAAATTCATTATTTTTGAGATTTTTAAATTTTAATAACTTTTTTTTTATGATTTCTGACACCGAAGAAATAAAAACAACTTTGCACAGTGAATTTAATATTCTCATCTTTATAGTGTGAACATATTTCGGTTGCTTAGCTTGGACTACAGCCCTAGTGGTTCTTACAATCTTGCCCACGCAAAACAGTTTTTGCTATGTTTTCCATAATAATTTGTAGGACAGAGACATGTCGAGCGTTCTGTTATTGAACTTGATCCCGGAATTAACGTAATAACAATTTTGAAAATTTAATGACGTTGTAGGCACGACTGTATATAGTTACGATTCATTAAAATAATAATAAAATCCAATGTCGTGTGGACCAACGTGAACGCGTCACTACAAAATTATTATTATAATGTACGGGGAAGAAATACAAACCATTTTAATATTTTATGTGAGTCTCTATCATTTGATATTATATTGTGCTACCGCGGATTCGTGTCGCCAGATCCGATGCTGCTCCAATAATATTATATTATCATTATTATTATTATTATTATTATAACGAAGTACATGCCCGCGAACACCTTTTGCGCATTAAAACGATAATATTGTAAGATATATTATTATTACTATATGGTTATTATTATAATATACAAAGCGCGTTTCACGCAGAGTGCAGACCGCAGAAAAGAAAACTGTAACATTCGTAAAACGATAATAATTGGTCACACCCCGCGAGCTCGTCAGACACGATATTATAGATACGTATCTCTTTATACGTAATGTACGTTCACACATTAAAATAATGATAATAATAATATTATTGTGATTCCGTTCAATTACGACAACGATGATGATAATAGTAATAATAATATAGCATTGTAGAATTTTACGCGACGGCGGTGCGTGTGGTGACGAAACACCGGAGTGTTTGCGGGTGCGTTAGGTAACAATTATAACTATATTATTATTATATTATAACCGACACGATGATAATAATAATAATATAATAATTAGACTATAACAAAAAAATAATAATAACGGTAATTAATAATTATCAAAGGTGAGCGAAGGGCTAGTGGAATTTCACTGAGTCCATATAATACAATATAGGTAATATGTACATTATATTATTATGCGTTAATATTCTGCAGGTTAGGCCCCCCATGAACGCATTCATCTCAAGATAGATATATTTTACTTTTTAGACTAACTTTTTTCAATACTGATTCTCAATAATTTGTTTTAATTAGCAAAATTTAGAACTTTACACTTGAACACGACATATTGTATTGAACAAATTTTAAAATTTATTTATTTTTTTCACAATTTAGTTAAACTAACTTTTGACATTGTCACATTAACACAACAACGGATGGACGGGTAACTCACAGGACAGAGGTCGTTTCAGCCACATAAGACGGCACACAACTCATCGGCCGGACAGTTTTTGCAACAGACGGACAACGCGACTCACAGGAAGGCGGAATGCGATAGAAAATGTTATCCCATTCCAAATAAGTTGTTGAGGAAACACTGAAATGTATTATACAAAACATAAACTTAAAGCTACATCTTATATTCATATTCTAAAATTATAACCACCCTTTTTTTCATCTTCTTGCGAATTACATCAGCAACGCTGCCATCGTTTATTAAATTAATTAATTAATTAATATAATACAAATATTCACAAGACTCACAGGAAGCTGGAGACTACTTTCCATAACAATCGCTAGCCTATATATTTGTAGCACAGATTATATTAATTTCATTAAGTTTTATATTATAATCTCAAATCTGTATTTGTAGGCGACATGAGAATGTACATTTAGTTTCAATTTTTTGTAGGAGTCCTTGCTGGGGGGCCCTCTTCGCGGACCGGCCGCGGCCTTAGCCCGCCGTCCTTTAGCTCCATACGAACGCTTATCGGCCCGCCGGCTTAGAGTCTCGTACTACGCTGCCTAATTCTATCTTCCTCCTCCTTCAAGTCCGACTTCATCTCTTCCACCGTCTTATATACCAGCCTGTAGGTTTCTACTGTCTCGCCTGAGGACGAGTCTCTAGCTGCAGGGTCCTGCAGGTCCTCAAGCACGGGACCACAGATTATGCACTGCAGGATGTCAACAATCGCTAGTGGACGACTCAATCGAGCCTTCATCTGGATTAACCTCATCTGGTCCAAATGCAGGCAGTGTAGCATGGTGTGCTCCTCCGTGTCCCACTTGGGCACAGGACGCAATGGGGACTTACGGCTCTACCCCTCCTTTTGTGTAGAAACTGCTGAAAATAGCCGTATTATAACCTCCCTGCATGACGGTTATACATTTTTCTTCCATGGAATTGTTTTCGTAGTCTGGGTTGTTGCATAGATCCCTGCACAGTGCATAGTGCATTACCTTTGCAGTGATCGATGAAAGCAGAGGTGTGACAATAAATTGTATGTGTGGCTTATGCGGGAAGGCAACAGTCTTGGGGGAAATGCGGCTCACTTCCCGCCGGTAATCGGAAAAAAAAGTCCCAAGCTAGGAAAAACATCCCGAAAAAAAAAATATTATTTTTGTAGGTACTTGTACAGTTCTATAGTAAGCTGTGCTTTGTATTTTAGTGTGTAACTGTGTAAGTGTAATGAATGTATCGGGAATATGGAAATGAAAGATTTTTGCTGTATGATAATGGCCCAAATTCTGATGATAGAATTTTAATGTTCCCCACTGACAACTATTTGTCGTTATTGGCCAAATCTGATACCTGGTTTGTCGACGGAAATTTTGGCTTCGCTCCCGAATTTTTCAAGCAATTATACGTTATTCGTGTACAAATAAATTCCGTATTTATGACATCAGTATATAGCATTCTGTAGAAAAAAAGTCAATCTACATATTATAAAAAAATATTTAGTATTTTATTAAAAGAATGTCAAGATCGTGACTTGTACCCAGATCCGAAATTTTTAGATTTAGATTTTGAATTAGCAGTCATAAATGCTGCAAAAAATATTTTCGGAACTCATATTACGATTAACGGATGTTTTAATCATTTGTGTCAATCGACACATAGAAAAATTCAGAAACTTGGTTTGTCTGGGATTTATAAAGAAGATAATAATTTTCGAAAATATTGCGGCATGATTGATGGATTAGATTTCCTGTCACAGGATAAAGTACTGGACGGAATGACATGTCTAAAAGAAATAATTCCTCCAGATGCAGAAGACCTTTTAACTTATTTTGATTCTTATTATGTAAATGGTACCTATAGGCGTGTAGGTTCAAGTTCTACCTTGCATTTTAGAAAAATTCCACCTATATGTTCACCTGCCTCGTGGAATGTACATAATGCCACTTTAGTAGGGTGGCATCGAACAAACAATATGACTGAAGGATGGAATAACCGATTTTCAAAGCTATGTGGACATAAACATCCAACTATTTGGAAATTAATTAGGAAAATAAAAATGGAAATTTCCTCAGATGAAGCGAAATTAGCTTTAGATGCTGTAGGAGATTCGAAAACTGTTAAAAAACTAGGGCAAACTCGGACAGTAGAAAAACGGCTGCAAAATGTATGTATACAAATATAAGAGGGCAATATCGGTGTTTTAGATTTTTTAACAGCCGTAAGTCATAATATAAGAAAGAGGTGTAAGTACCTAATTATAATATTACATTTTTAGAGCATTATTATTATTATTATATTGGTACTTTAATTGTATTATTATTATTTACTTTTATTTTATATTATATGACTTTTTATGTATTTATATATTCATAGGGACTTTTTTTTCCGCGATTCCTTCCCGCCCTTACCATATATACGATGTACCTACTTCAATGATGTTATAATTGTTATATTATTATCATTGTTATATTTAAACTCTATGGCGTATATAAAATTGATATTATACTGTGCTGGCTACAAATATTATTATTATTATTATTATTATTATTATATGAAGCTGGTGTAATAAATTGTTTATTTTTGACGACCATTATGCCTGTATTCTGTGTAAATAGAAATAATAATAATCGAATATAATTAGTTTATTTATATTGTAATATTATTTTGACAGTGAGTTATTTTAATAGTTGTATCCAATAAGGCTTTAACGTTTTTGAAGTTTGGTTTTTATGTACCTAGTGTTAAAGTAAAGTAAAGTACTGTTTCAAATTTATTTGATTATTTTTCCTGGACTTGAAATAGCTGCCAACACTTAGCGCTTGAAGTTTCAACTAGAAGCGATATTCCGGCAACCAATATTATTACGTCATTATGGATGCAGGTCGTATAGTTATGCTAAAGTTATAGTTGTAGTTAGATTCTGTTTTGACTTGCGTTAATATTACTTAACGTAGTTTAAATTAGTTATACAATAAATTATTGGTGCACTTAGGATAGATTCGATAAGCCAGATTTATTCAAAAAGAGATTTTAGTTAAATAATTTATCAGCGGAAGGCCGTTTGTGTTTAAAATTTGGACGAGACTAAATTCCATTCAAAATCCAAATCCTAAGACCACCTATGGTTATCGTAGTAAAATATATTAGAACTCGTATTCTTCTTCTTGTCGAGTTCGGTTTTTTAGATTTTGTTTTGAAGGTTTGCTTTTATGATTATTAAAATATAATATATAGCCACTATATTATGGCTGCGAGTGAAGATGTGTTGCGACCTAGTAATTCTGAAAGGTGTTCCGTAAATTTGCGAACATTTTGGTTCGGAGTGCCCAACAACATCCGTCAATATGTGTTTTATTATAAGACAGTTGCCGCATATTGTGGACAATGTTGACCTTTTTGCTCATTATATGACTGTAAGCGACTTGTGTGTGCCCGAACCGGAGTCTAGTTAGGATGACCTCGAACTTTCTTGGAAGGTCTGGTGGATGAGTACATCTTTTTTTATTTCATGGAGTTTTGTGAAAACGGACGTCCAGTTTACCTGCCACATATTAGTACAATTAATTTTTATTAAGGTTATTATATTTTGTTTCGTTACCAAATGAACTGCTATTGCTCATGGATTCATAATTGCATCTTTTGTCGAATTATCAACGATCTCATTTTCTATGATATTATAGTCTATAGAATGGCCGGGTATCCAGCTAAACTGAATAGTTTTTAATTTTATTTTTTCAAATTTTTAATAGCTCTACAAATGTTGGGTTTTTTAAAAATGTTTGACACTGTAAAAATATCTAATAACCAGTACACATTTGAGTCGTCCTAGCCATTATTTGGTAATAATTAAACATAAATAGACATATTAAATTTTCTTTTTTTTCATGTATACCGTTATACTCTGTATTATAGTAGAGACGTTGAATAATATGTATATTATATAATTTGAACGTTTTAACGTTTATATGGTTTTCTAAACATTAAAATTGTATTTATAACTATGATTCTACCTATAGTTTATTTCTACGATATTAGATTAGTAAATGGGTTTAACTGTTATTAACAAGTATTGCTAATGCCTAATACCAAGGTAGAGAGTAATTAGTGCCGGTCGGGATTCAAGAGATCTCGACACCAGTGTCTTTTGATCGACGTGGGGGGTTATTTTTCATGAATTCACAAACTAAGTTAGAAATCAATGGATTTGTGGGGTTAACTGTTTTAGTGTGGACATTTTTATGGTAATTTTTAGCTGTTATAGAGACTGTTTCAATTTTAAAATCTTTAATTGATAAATTAAAAGGACAAGCTCGCGAAAAAAGAAGTTATAACCATTCAAACTATATTGGCAAATATTTAATATTAATGAACATTTTTCTATTAATATTTCCATGGATTCATTATTATGAGAACAGTTAGGTATTGTGCCTAACAATTGGAATATTAAAAAAATCATTATTGGTAATCTGCTCCATGTTGTTTATTTAAATAGAAGGTACCTGGCTAGTATTCGTTGAATATTGACGTACCCAATCGGGTTAGGTATAGACGGTACCGTGAATGCAAATCAAACGCACGTGTGTCATTTGAATGAACTACTCGATCGCCTGAAAATATTATTTTTTAGCTGCAGTTACCAACAGACGATAGTATGGGCTAATAATACTATTTTCGAGTTAACGATTTTTATTCTGACTCATTTAGTATAGAAAAAAAGTAAGTTAATAGAATCAATAGTTTTCTAAATGTATTTTTCATTTACTTAGTTAAAGATAAAATTTGACATTATCTAATTGATGACAAAAAATATTAAATATTTATCCTACCTAGTATATTGCCTACCACATTAATGAATATTTCGGAATTCCTCCAAACTCAGAACTAAGCGTGCCCATAAGAAGGCATACATAGGAGTGTTTCGAGGGATATGTGGAAGGCAGTTGACTATCCAGCAAACTGTTCCCACCACTCGTCAAAGAGAGGAATCTACAGAATTGAACATATAAGTAATTTTTGAACCATATAAATAGTTGTATTAACATTTTTTACTTTGGTATTTTAGTTAATCACACCTACTTCAATTTTTGGGATATTTTATACTGCTCTTACATCCATTGAAAATGTTTCTTTTTGGACTATTATCTAGTATGAGATATGAATCTATGATAAAGTCATATAAACACAAACTGGTTATGCATATAATATTATATTAATAATTGTATTTTATCGGATTTATCCCTGTATGAAGTTTTACGTTTTCCTGATATCTAATATTTCTTCAACAAATAAATGAAAGCATAAATAAATGGTTTTAATACTTAAATAATATATAATAATATAATACCTATATAATATCAAATTAACTTAATCTTAACACGTACATTATATACATTATATCGATGGCGTAGCGCACAAGTGTGATAAGTGACATTTTTTTGAAAAATGAGTTAAGTGCATAATCAATTTAATCATACAATTCTGCACATTATGCCCAAACGTTGTAAGTGAATAGTTCATTATTTACTCCGATAGACGTCGTACAGTTCGTTACATTTTTGAATTTGTTATGACATCTCAAACTTAAAAATCGTTCTCCTGAACAATTACGAAAATGTCACTTATCACACTTGTGCGCTACGCCATCGATATTACATTAACTTATCAGGTAAAAAATTATTCCAAAAATAATTGACTTAATTTGAATTTTTAAACCTTTAATGCCTAACCCATTTTTTGAAAACGCATGACGATGTTTGGTCAATAGGTGCCGGATACACTTTTTTATCGTATAATATTGAGATCGACTGCAGAAATTTAACATAACCCACAGTAGCCAAGGAAGTTATTGCAAAATCAACAAGCCTTCGAAAATATCGATAAAAGTCAATAATTACCAGGTTATGAATTTCTTAGGATTTGAATAGGACAAAATAAGAAACAATAATAATATAATGTATAGAAACTGATATGAATACTAGTGCGATAGGTTATAACGGGCGTAATATTTTTCACGAACATTATTTTATTAATAGGTATTTTAAATTACAAAATATGTATAGAATAAAACCAGAATATATATCAACTAAAATATTATACATAGGTATATTATAGTATGATCTATGATACAAGGAAGCAAAAAATAGGTTAACCACATTATAAAATATTATACCTTACCGTATGTAAGTACAGAGTGTTTCTTCGAATTACAGATCACTGATTCTCTAAGCCATATTGTCTAATATAATTGCGTCATTGTACAAAAAAATAATAATTACACTATAAGTACTAAAATTTAATTTTTTAACAATATTTATAATGTACACTGTATATATAGAGGTAAAATGATTTGTTTGTTTTCGTCTAGATGCGTTTAATCGAAACAAAGTTTCTTGAAGTTTCCTTCGATACCCAATATCGACTTATCGGCGGTCTTAGATTGACCGATCCGTTTACTAGAATCGGTTTTCAATCCTTCCATTGCCAAGCACCAATTTCTGCGTTTTATGAGTTCTTCGTGCATTCTTTCTGCAATAAATAAACGTATACCTATGAGTTTAAGATATTTCTAAAAAAAATCAAATGCTATCGAAATGTTCTAAAAACATTGTATAATATTTTAATGGGTGCGCAGTACATGCAAGTTGTGTAGATACTCGGAGAAATTTAATTTAAATGTCAAACGAAAAAGATAGTACAGTATACCCGGTCTGAAAAGCACTTACGACTCAGTTCAGCCAAATTTCCAGCTTTGCCACCCCATTCGTTTGGAAACATATCAATTGGGTATAGGTCTTGCAAACTTTCGAAATTCGAGTTAAATAAGATCTGAAATCCAATGTAGGTAAAACGTTAGGAAGTTCTCCTAAATTTTTCATAACGTCGAATCGTTGCAATGAACGTTCGTCGATAATATCTCTTATATTTACTCACCCTGTTCTTATATTTTTGGGGGAAAAAGTGTTTGATAAAATTAAGCGTGGTTTCGGCTATTGGTGCTATGTTAACAAAATGAACTCGCTTGATCCTCACTGGTTTCGCTTCCTGAAATAAATTAAATCCTATAGTAAATATATAAATAAAACATCATAATGTAACTACCAATAGTTGTCTGGTAATATTTTAAAATATTATATTCATATTATACTATTATTATACAGACAATATTATTATATTTTAATCGAACAAAGAAAATGATAATGTTATATTACTGTAATAGTATTTTCTTAAACATAATAAGTATTATTCAGTGTGTTTTTTTTTCTGTCTGTCATCAACATTTTGGATAGTAAAAACGTTAAGATTTTCGATTTCCGCATATTATATTTTCTGATATATTTGATATATTTCTAAATTACCATATTTATTTTGAGAATTTTTTTCATAAAACTGAGATTGAAATGCGCCCATTGAGCCATCGACTCCATATTTGTCAAATCAAATATCCATATATCTCCTAAGGTCAATGCGTCTTCATCGAACAACCAATTCCACATCAATTCGTTGCGTTTCAATTGACTATCAGGACAAAACGCTTTTGCATCTGTTGTCGTCATCCGGTAACAGAGCACTCTGTGGAATTCCGGCGTGAGTTTTGGCAATGGAAACATGTGACTAAAATGTATACAAAACGACGAATAAAAAAGTTATATTTACCACAAGTTTGAATTTTATTTAGCTTTTGAACAAATTATACAATTTGTCATTATAAGCTATACAGTGATTAATTGCTTAAAACTAACTACCTAATCAAAAAAATAATTTTTATCTGGGCTCTGTGTATGCCATCTGTCTACTTAATACTGTCTTCAATAATTTATTGTTATGTGTTAAACGAGCAAATCTAAAGTGTGACCTAGTAAAATACTTAAAGTTTGAAACTTATATTATACTGATATTATTATGATCTGTAAAGATAATGATGTCTATAATAGTTAAATAGTTTGTCATTAATATTTTTAACAAAAAATTAATATTGTGAGAAATCGATTATCATCCTGAAAAAAAAACATACTATAGCAAAATATAGTTTGCACATCATAAGTTTCTATAATTTTTACAGATTCATTAGTTAAATATTGAAAATTAAAAATTAAAACGCTATCGAAAAAAGGAAGTAAATAACTTTTTTTTTAATATAATTTAATAATTCAATATTCATTTGTTTATAAAAATAATTAAGTACCTACCTACCTATAAAGTTGACTGATGAGGGGAAAACAAATAAGCGAGTATTGTTCTTAAAAACTAAAAAAAGTATTAAATTACTATGTGATTAATATTGTTATATAATATTTATTATTTATATATTATTATAAAATAAGGCTGGTTTGAGATAATTACGTCCAGTATTATTTGGAATTACGGACTACGGACTGTTATAATAATATGGAATAATAAATGATAAATTAAATGATATTTCAACAAATCTATTGTAGTAGGTATAATGTATATAGCTGATATAATACATAATTTCGACTACAAAGAGCCACATTTGTGGTGTATAACAATGATTGAACACACACAATGTGTTAACTGAAAAAAATCATCGGTTTTTGATCACAACTCATCCGACTAGAACATTTGAATTTTTGGTATAAATAAAATATTATCATAATTATTATTGTTTGTTTTTTTATCATTATGAATTCAATGTTTGTACAAAAATATGAAACATCTTCATATTATAATACAATCTCTCTGACACACATGTGATAAAATATTGTATGATATGTCACTGGCAAATCACCAGAGGCCCAGACATAATGTAATTTAATGTGACTGTATGTATATTAATGAAAACTTTAATACGAACAATTTTTAATTGATTGGTTTAAGTTTTAAATATTGGGTTAAAAAATATCTATGTAATTTATTATGTACCAATTATTAGTTTATAATTTTAGATTTCTGTAGACTTTATAACATATTTTGTGATATGATTTTTACATATTTGATTAGGAAACAAGTACACAATCTACACAATAATAATCAACAAGTAGGTACAATAAGCATATTATAATAATATTCTGATGTACTTTAAGTAACTAATGTACCTATAGTTTATAATAATATATTAATACAACTTGTAAAAATACACAGATGAACCAAGTTGTGAGTCCATCTTTATATTTTGTCAGTTCCTACTTTTACTTGGGCCACGGTTATTCATTCGTTCCTCTCTTTGTTTGGAGTAGACATGTATAAATCGTGACTCATATGAGTATAAAAAAAAAATTAAAACAAAAGACGTTCTGCGCGAGTTCATTTAACTGGAGTATGAATTTGTTGTTGCAAACTAAAATAATACATTTCACACAATAATGAACAGGTTCAAAAAACCCATAAGCAGGTATTTGTTTTGCTATTTTAACGCTTATTTAGAACATACTATTTATACTAACGAAGTTATTAACGTTTTTAGTTAACATAATTTAATTTAATTAGAAATTATAACAATTATAGTACCTAACCATGTCCTATATTATACTGTCTATCTATGTGAATTAAAATACACAAGAATTATTATACTATATTTGAGTTATTAGCTATCAATTTACTATAAACAAATAATAATAATATAATATGTATAATTGGCATTAATTATTTCGAGACATCAATCTTTTTATACTTACACTGCTTCTACATGTTTTCGAAATGTTTCTGTCGTTGGATCTAGGTCTCCATAAATTTGAGGAAATAATTCTTTAACTGTATAGTAGTTATCGATCACGAGTTTGACTTTGTCCGTGCGGTATTTTAAGCTAAACAACACTTTTTTTATGAATTCATCACCTGAAATAAAAATAATGAATTCAATAATAAATCACAATAATTCGTAGACTCACAATTTAAGATTTTTTAATTCCTGTTATCGATTTTTTCTTCAAGCGTTATGCTCTATATCAAATTATAATATTATTATTCGTCCGAGATGGAATAATTGCAGTGACGTACACGCCGAATTTAACATAATATTATGTTTGCGATCCGACCTTCCCCCGAAATATCATTAATAATAATTAACAACCCGATTGGTTTCGTAAAAGGAGTTACACACTCCTTGTAAAATCAGTACATGAATAATGACAACCCATGTAAAGTTAATACACAAAATATAATATTATGTCTAGTGATTACTAGGTAGGTAGGTATACTTTCTGTCGAAGCGATCTAGCGCAGTATTCACGAATGTCCTTAATTTCTGCGTCTCTTTAATGTATTAGGTATGTTTATTATTTTAAACCTATTATATTACATCAGTGATATAAAATATGTACCTATATATAATATATAAATATTCTATAAATAAATTCTGATGTAGATCGTATAAAATATGTGCATATACGTTTTATATTGTGTTCCGCGTAGTAGTATAATATGTAGATTTAAGTACCTTAAAATCTATTGTGAGTTATATAACTTATATTACGTTCATCAGCCAATTAATTTTTGCACAACTCTTATATTGAACACCTTGATTTCCTGACAATATAATTATGATAACTATAATTTGACGTTATAGTATATTATCTACATGATAATCTTTGTTTATAAAATAAACTTATACTATAATAGGTATACCTACCTATCTCGTAACCAAACCAAACGCGTAATTTAACATAAATTATCATGACAATTGCTTTTTTAGGTAAAAAAAATACGAAATCTCTAAACGTAATGTATTAAGATACAATAATTATGACGTTCTTCTTTTTTGGTAATCAACCCTAAGTTTGGTGTCCCCATAATCTTTCCACTCGACATCTCTATATTATAACGTCTTTAATTCTTTGCCGTTTGTTAGACGTTATAAAAGGTTGAATAATTGAAAAACGAGATTACTGTTGAAAACTTAGTGTACTTACTTGTTTTGGGTAGATGCGGCTGCTTATCCAACCAGTGTCTGACGATGGATAATTCCTGATCGATCTCGGCCTTTGATCTTGGAAAAAAGTTTTGTATCGCTTTCAGCTGAACATCGGTTAGTGGTACAATCATTGTGTTTACCCGGGCTTTTGAATTCACCAAAGAGTTTGAAATTGATTGTCCCTGCGAATAAACCACCGAATAAACGACGTGTTTTATACTCTTATCGTATATCATGTAATCGTGTTTCTATGGTAATTTAGCTAACGGTGTAGCCTATAATATAATAGCCATGTGCGAAGTAACAAAGCATTTAGTAGGTACAATTTGTGTTCAATAATATTGTTGATTTAGTATTAAAGAAAACTCAGTTAATCATCGCATCTGTCCTTGATGGATAGCAAATTTGTTTAATATTTTTGTTTATACAAGTCATAAGCCCAGGGCACAATAATGGATATAAAAAAAAAACCGATGTTTCTAATTAAATAATATACTTATTGTATTTATACATATTATATTATACACCATAATTATTATGTTATGTATACCTATATGACAATACAATATTATAAAATACAAAGTGATATATACAAAATATAAATTATGTCCATAATGGAAAAATAGTTATCTGAATGTCTATTGTTGGTACATACATTATACACTATATTAGTTCTAAACAATGTAAATGTTGGTGTATTATAAACTACCAGCTAAAGTTGCATCAAACCTATACGCAATCGATTATTTTTTCAAAAATTAACATTAAAACGTGTCGTTATTATTACATTTTAATACCGCCTCATCAATTTATGTAGATGAAGTCCAGTTCCTTGATTTTCAATAGCACGAAAATAAATATTAGATGCCTATAAAGGTTTCATCTGATATTCATATACAACCTATCTATTTATATTCGAAATAGAATTTTCTCATTATTTCTCATTATATTATGTAATAAGTGTGTACTATTTTTATATTCCTTATATCTGCGTATTAAAATAAAATATTTTTTTTTATCATTTCTGATTATTGATTAGTTTTCCGAAACATTATATGTTAATACCAGATGACTTTATACTTCAAAAAAACAAATAGTTGTACGTTAAAATGCTTATAAATTATAATAAACTAACGAAAATGTTGATGGTGGTGGGTTGCAGGGAGTACAATTGGATACTTTTCCGGATGGTAATACCCCGGATACCAGTGCAAAAATTTGCAAATATAAAAATAATTGAATAAATTCTAACTAAAATATATCATTATCTACAACTCCACTATTCGAAAAAATATCGTTTCTTATTTTATATTGGTAGGTACCTATAGCATTTTTTGTTATGTTCGGTGTTGGAAATATTAGGCAAACAATTTGGATTCATAAGAAAACAATAGAAACGTAGTCACTTTCATTTCACATCTCGAACCGAACGTGCTTATAAAATCATTCGATTAAACAATGAGCAAGCCAATAACCTATGTAGTTACTAGTTTATATAAATTGTTTTGTAATTGTTTTTACATTTTTTTTTTCTTTGAAAAAGTAAACTTTATTATTATGAGAAAAGAAGACACTGTGCATGACTTGTCCACAATTGCCGTGATGTTATCAATTTCATTTAACAGAAAATATTGTAAGCATTTTTTAGATATATTGATAGGAACATCAACAGGTCTGCAGTCACCATCTGTAACAGCCTTGGAATCAGATGGAGAAAAACCATGAATCTTCAAGAAGCGACTACGGCGTTGCTTGGACGGAATTCGTGGAATATGGGCAACGTTCAGACTTGAGATTACCGACGACAACCGCGGTAACGAAGTGATCACTTCAAACTACACGGAAGTACCATGGTCGTGTGATAATACCGTGATGGATGTTAGTGAGGTAGCAGTGAGGGGGCGAAAGCGGATCAAACGTCAGCTGGTCCCGAGCAGCCTCGCCAAGGGCGCTACTTTCGGCATAAGGGAAACACTATACATAGCCGACATTGTGCTCTGATGGTGACGCGCCCAATATTATACTCGTCCCAACACTGACCCTGAATCACTCGGAGAAGTCGACAGTGGCCTTATGATACAGCACGCCTTTATGGCTGGGTACCTTGTGTCGTACCTTTACTTCCTCCGCAAAATTGTGTCTAGCGTGTAAAAATTTTTCTCGTTGAAAGTGTTCGTCGTCTATTTTATAACAAGTGTATACTGTATACCAACTAAATAGTGCCTATATTATTATGTACTTGCAGCGTATTTTGTGTGTTTTGAACAATGTTAAATAAACATATTAATACCTATCGTGTTTACTAATACATTTAGGGTTAGGATTTAAAGCAAATGTTTTTATTTTTTTAGTAAAAAAGATTATTCGTGTATACCTACAGTGTATTTGATTTAATTGCCATTAAAATACTGACTGAGGAACGGTATTAGGTACGTATAGGTACATATCATATTTGCTTTATTTTTGCTATAATATACGTATAAGATATAAAGTATTGGAGTATTAGCCATTAGACAGTGCTAGGTAAATGGGGGTCCATCCAAGTCCCCATCATTATATTTTGGTCATGACATTTTGATGAATTGATATTTACTCCACTGCACGGAAAAACAAAATTGAATAATAATAATAATATTAGGTTTATATAAATATGTTTTTGATGGTTGAAACTGTAATACGAAATAGGCTACGCAATATTGTTAAGAAGATAATCGATATAATCGAATAATGATTAATCGGATATAGCTGAATCCCTATGGTATTTTTTGGAATTTCCGTGGCAACTGTAAGTCAACAACAAATTTAACCAGCACTAAAGCATATGTAATATGTTAAAAGTTGCTTTATTTTCTAGTAAAAATGATTGAATTCAAAATTCCAAAAATGCTCTAAAAATATAAAAGTTATAAAGAAGTTCAAATAAAATATATTTGAGGCGCCGAGCACAAAAGTGGCCTGTTTGTCTCAACCATCATTCCCGAGTAAATTAGCTTTAAAGATTTTACTAATTTTGCATCACTGCAGAGAACAGTTTTAATTTTTTTTTGGGGGGGCGGCGTTCTTGTTGAAATCCATGGTAGATTACATCAGCGTTTTTGAAACCAAATAAAGTCGAAATTCCCTAAGTTAATGTTGGATAGGTCACTTTTGCATTTTTCTTATAACCACTTCATAATTATAACATGTGGTTTAGGTCAAATTTGTATAAAAGAATCAACCATGTCATGTCAACTAAACTTTTTTAATCAACTTTGTATACAATTTTAAAACAACAATATAGGTATTTGAAATTCAGACTCATGAAATAAATAGGCCAGTGTTGCATTATAATAAAAACAAAAATGACTGGGTGCAACACATAGAGGTGCAACAACAGAATAGGGTGCTGCTAGGAGAAAAAAAATATATTAAATAGGCCGGGTTTCCTTTAATATTAATTACACGATTTTGAACAACTTGGTACAGTTACTTCAATTTTTCATTTTTTGTGGTTTAGGCAACTTTTGCGCTCAGCGCCTCATTTTGTTTTTAGTTACTTTGTAAACTGTATACTGGAAAGTAATAGATATAGGTATAGCAATGGCTTAGAACAGCCGTTTTAGGATATTCCGAATAAAATAGTAATGCATTTAAATCTGCGCCCTAGGTTATGTTAGGTAATAATTAATTACCTATTTTACTCAAAATAGAAATCGTAACTACCTAACACCTACCGTTGTTTGGAATACAAATGTTGCTAATATTTCACTATGAAAACTTGATAGTTTATACTATTAGTTAGTTATACGTCAGCTAACAACATAAAATATATTAAAATTAAAACTATTTAACCTATTATAATTATATTATAGCCTATAGGTATATTATGTATATCACTTGCGTTCATTATTGTATTTATATTATATGCTATTACAATAACATCTGAAGTATATATATTTAAATGTTATCTTTCTGTTAAACATTTTATTATAATACAACCTGGGACATGTACCTACATCGGAAAAATAATTAAATTGGATACCTAAAATATAAAGAAAATAAAAATTTTTTCCAGAATGAAGAATCCACCAATTGGAAGAACTTCTAGTAGAAGTCTGGGCCAAAAAATAAATCATTGATTTATTTTCACTCGGAATCTCATATTATTTTATTATGATTTAATCGAAATTTGATGCGCAACAATAAATAATATTAAACAACTTAAAATTGTTTGCAAACATAATAGGTATAGCTACTTACTATTAAGTAGGTATGGCTACCTAAATGTATTATTCTTAGACAACAATAACATTTGATTAATTTATCACAGCATCCGTATTATTTTAACTATACACTCCTCCAGCGTATTATAATATTCTAAAAACACAGTATTGTATTATGTTCGATTGTTCAAAACAAATAAATCCTATAATCGATTATGAACTCGATGGAAGTGAAAAACATCAAGTTATTTTAATTTAATTGGTTGTATAATAATGTATTAAGCAAGTTGGACATACTTTTAAATATATTGTTAGTTTTCATACGTCGTAATCATTACAGTGCTGTGGGTAATTATCATTCTCATAAAGTACACATATCTGATCACAATCTAAATCAAATATATAGACTTAAAATAATTTGGATGGAAAATATGATCAAAATTCGTGTGAATATGACAATTATTGTCATAGGTAGGACGTAAGTACATAATATTATATTACATAGGAAGTAGGTACGCGGCAGTTCTTCAAAAACTTAGACGATCTATCGTATCTTAATAATAATATTGTCGTATTTAAACACTCAACAGGTTTTTATTTGAAACATCCGATGAAAAAACTCGTTATCACCACGTAGGTACCTACAACTGTCTTACGAGAAGTACGCAGGACGACATAAAAACATCATTCTCTTCAACTCCACAGGCCTCGATAGACGTCGTATTATAAATGCTGACGGGATACATCGCTATAATATGTTACAGCCTAAAGCAATGGCTAAATACATATGGATAGGTATGTCGCAGAGAATAAAACATGAGTACGATATTATTGTCTGTTGGTGACTATAATATGGCACTTATTTTTTTTTTTTCATTTCGTACGTCTTGTCTTATCGAGTTTGTAAATACAAACGATTCTTTTTTTCG